GCCCCCTTTCCTCACCACTGCTTCCAGCCTGGGAGCTAACATGATAGTTTAATTCCATTTTCTGATTTCTTTTAGAGAGGCAGCATAGTGTAATGGATGGCAGCTAGGTGGCTCAGTGGATAGGACACCAAGCTTGGAGTCAGGAAGACTTAAGTTCAAATCCAATCTCAGACACCTACTAGCTGAGTGACCCTGAGCAAGTTGCTTAACCATGTTTGCCTCAGTTGCTTCATCTGTAAAATGAGCTAAAGAAGGGAATGGCAAATAGCTTCAGTATCTTTGTCAAGAAGACCCCCAAAAAGGGGTCATGAAGAGTTGGACACAACTTAAATAACTGAAAAATAACAACATAGTGTAATGGAGAGAATACTGGATGCATCCAGGAAGACCTGGGTTCAAGTACTGCCTTAGACACTTACTAGCTGTGTGACCCTGGGCAGGTCACTTAATTTCCCTTAGCCTCAGTTTACTCATCTATAAAATGGGGATAATAATAACACCCTCAAAGGGTTGTTGTGAGGGTCAGTTGAGAGAATGCATGTAAAGTGCTATGTACAAGTCAGATGTATTATCTTTCTCACACTCACCTTAAACTTACATACTGATTCTCAGTGATCTACTCTGCATTTCTAAGGGATTCCCTGGAACTGGTCAATCCCACTAGGGTGAATCTTCATCTAGTCCCTCATCCAGGTGAAAAGAAAAAAAAATCTTTGAAATCATCTTCCTTATAGAATCCCCTCAGGGAGCTCTCTTTACCCCACCCCCATCCCTTTATTTTCAGAAGACCTGAGCTGAAGCAGATACCTTGATTTGTGTGACATGATATATACATGCTGCTTGAGGCAGCTTCATGCTGTGGACAGAATGGAGTCAGGAAGAGCTGAGTTCAAATCTTGCCTCAGCTACTTACTACCTTTGTGACCCGTAGCAAATTGCTTAGCTTTTCTGAGTCTCAGTTTCCCTGTCTATAAAATGGGGGTGATAATAATAGCACCTTCCTCACAGGGTGGTTGTGAAGATCAAATGAGTACTTTGCAGACCTTAAAGAGCTATAGAAATAGCCACTTTTATTATAATTTAGTCCCTGTGGAGATTGATAAAACCGTCACTGAAAAGAATGTTCGAAGATAAAAGAGAATTTTTACTCATAAGTTGAAACTAAGCCTCAAGCCACACATCTGTGTCCCGAGTTGGTCAAAGTACAGTATGGAGGATTTTTTTACAGGAAAAGTTCTCCCCAAATTCTTTCATCTTCAGGGTTGAATCATTCCCAGTGTTTATTTTCTGCTCAGTGCTCATGGGGTTTGGCATCTCATCCCATTAGCCTTCACTTGAGCAGGCTTGGTGTGTACATGGGAAAAATGACCTAGGGAGAAAATGAGCGTCAACCCACTTAGCCAAGGGAAAGGGGGCATGAGAGATGTGGTTCTGTGCTCACCCCCTGCCTCTGGGCCGATCCACTTGTCTCTCTGCCTTCCTCTTCATCTCCTCTAATTAGGATACAGGCTTCTTGCACTCTGTCTAGTCTGCTTGATCTGCACCCCCTCCACAGCTGTGCACAGCTGAAATGGAGGGTTCAGGGACCTTCTACTAACTTACAAAAAAAGTGACATCCGTGGGTGGAACACAAGCATTTTCCTCAGGCAGTATTTGTGGCCTTGTGGGCTAGCAAATGCTAGAAAGTCTGCTGTTTTAGGAATTATTTTAAGTTATTTTATTTCTGTGCCTTCAAAGCTCCTGGCCTTGACTTAGTAACCTCTGAGGACACCTGGGGAAAAGGGTCCTGGGCTACTGCAAAGGAGTAAAGGTGGGCTTGGTAGGTGCCAACTATTGAATATAGTTCGTAAGGACACAGAGAAAGGACTTCTCATTTCAGTGAGGAAACCTTCCCCTGCCTCCTTGTTCAACTTCATAAATAATTCTGGGTTCAATTGGAAAATATATTGGGGCCAGATCATGGAGGGCCTAGGATACTCATCTAAGGAATTGGTAATTTGTAGGCAGTGGGAGTCATTGAAGCTCCTTGAGTGAGCGAGTGGCATATTCGAATAAATGTTTTTTAGGAAGAGCAATCTGGCAGGGGTGAGCAGGATGGATTGGAGGGAATCACTGTGCAAATTTTCATATCTCCTCTTGCTTCCATCCCCACTAATTTCCCTCATTTTACAGATGAGGAAACAGAAGTCTAAAGAGGTTAAGTTACTTTGCCCTGGCCACACAAGTAGTGAGCATCAAAGGTGGAATTTGAATCTGAATCCTTTAGTATTACCCTCACCCTGCATTGCACCACCAGGAAGATGAGAGAATCTCTAAGTTCTAATTCCAGCTCACCATAAATGGGTTACTTCCTATACTATCCACAGAGTGAAAGAAAATCTGACAGGGAGCTAAGGACCTGATTCTGATCCTTGCTCAGTTACCCCTGACTGATTGTGACTGTGACCTTGGGCTCCCACATGTGTCTCTGATTGTAAATAAACTAATTGGCTTATCAATCTGGTTTATGTCTATTGTGAGAGTGGTCAGTGATGGGGGAAGACAGCATGACAAGAAGAAAGACTATGGAACTTAGTGACATACGATCTGGGTTTGAATCCGATCTCTGCCACTTACTAGCTGTGTGACCAGGGACAAGTCATTTAATCTCTGTAGGTCTCAGTTTCCTCATCTGTAAAATGAAGGAGTTGGTCCAGGTGACCTCAGGTTAGTCTGTCATAACCTGAGCACCCTGGGTATACTAATTAAATGAAATTTCTCATTCTGCAAAGCTAAGGACAAACCTTTAGACCCATGGTGACCCTACCACAGTGCAGGCACACAGCAGTGCTAAGACTGAGACAGCTAGCCAGCCTCACTTTCTTTCTTTTATCCAGTCATTTTCAGTCATATCTGACTCTCCATGACCCCATTTGGGGTTTTCTTGGCAAAGATCTTGGAATGGTTTGCCATTTCCTTCTCTAGCTCATTTTACAGATAAGGAAACTGAGGAAACAGGGCTAAGTGACTTTTCCAGGGTGACATAGATAGTAAGTGTCTGAGGCTGGATTTGAACCCAGATCTTCTTGACTCCAGCCCCAGAACTTTCTCCCCTGTGACCTTTAACTTCCTTCCAGAGGTAGAAATGACAGAATTCTACATTTATGCTCCTGCTTATGATCTGGGCTCAAATCTCTCCTCTGATGCTTACTGCTTATGTGACCTTGGGCAAGTCAAGTGACCTGTCTGGTACCTATTTGTCAAATAAAGTAGTTGGACTAGATGGTCCCTTCCAGCCCTACAACTATGAGTCAACGACCTTATGGTACCACACAGGTAAGTGCTGGGAATGATGGGCTTGTAAGAAGACTGGGAGCAGAGCCTGGTTTCAAGGTCATGAGTCATTTCTATGGTTGTTTTTCACCTATATTGAGCACTTCCTGTGGAGCCATGTCATGCCAGGGATGGAGGAGTGGCAGAAAGGAATTATTTGGTCATGTGATGAATGGGCGTCTAGGGAGCTCTCCACCAATGCTCTACCCACAGCTGGTCTCAGGGCAGAAGACCAAATACTGGAGCCATATCACAATGCCAGGCAGAAGACCCATGGAGCAGAGGGCTGTGGGGGGAGCTCAGTGCTCAGGAAGAAGCAGGGGTAAAGGAGTCTAGTCTACAGGGCAGGGTGGGGCAAGAGCTCTCTGCATAGAGTGTCCATGTATTACCTCCTCCTGCAGCCTCTGTTAGACTAGTTGGGCATTTAGACCCACAGCTGTTTGCCAACCCTTTTCCCTGGACTCCACCATGGTGGATCTCTAAGCCCTTATTCTAGTTCATCATAAATGATCATAGGATCTGAGTGCTTCCTGACTTCAAGAGACCTGAGTTCTTTCTGACCCTCAGCATTCTGAGTGGGCATCATAGTATAAATGACAAGGCACTGGACTCGGAGTTAGAAAGGTTTGAGTCTCGCTGCAAACACACTTACAAAATGAGAAACCCTGAGCCTCAGTTTCCCTAACTGTAAAATAAAGATAATAATAGCAATACTCCAGGGCTCTTGTGAGGATCAGACAAGATAATAATTATAAGGGAATTAGCACAGTGCCTGGCACATAGTAAGTGCTATATAAATGTCAGCTAAAAAAAAAAATGAGAGGATTGTAGTAGATAGTCCCTGAGCTGTCCTTGGTTGATGGAGGTGATTGGGCTTAATTTTGGAAGACCTTTCCTGCTCTGCTCCACTGAGTCCTTGAATCTATGAAAAGAACTAGGATTTTTTTTTTTTGCCTTGTACCTTACAGCTGAGGAGACTGCTCCATTTGGGGACTATTTGGGGGAAAGGCAGCTGTAAAGATGCTGTCTCAGTCCCTCGGGCTTATTTGCCAATTTTCCAGTGCTTTCCTGGCTGGGGGTGGGGGAGACAAATGGGTATGTTTAGCTTGGGGAAGAAAAGACTCAGGGGGGCATGTGATGGAATTGCTGCCCTGCAAGGTTTTGAAGGGTTGTCACATGGAAAAGGGATTAGATTTGTTCAGCTCAGCTCCAGGGGGAAGAACCAGGAACAGTGAATGGAAGCTTCAGAGAGACAAATTTAGGCTTGTATTCAGGAAAGATTTCCTAAATTAGAACTTTGCCAAAGTAGAATGGACTTGCCACCCCCCACCCTGAAGGCTGGATGACCTCTCGTCAAGAATGCAATAGAGTGAATTTTTTGGTGGGGGGAGTGGTGGTTATGGTTGGATTGACTAACTGCTGAGATTCAACTCTGAGCTTTTGTGATTGTTCAAATGTTTCAAGAATGAATAATGGGGAAGGTAGACAATTAGGAGTCACTACAGGTTCTTGAATAAGTGAATACTTTGTTATTGTTTTAGAAATATTAGTCTTTCTAGGATGTGAGACTATTTGCACCCTTTGCTAAGAAAGCAAACTCTGCTCTGCTACTAATACCCCCCAATGGTATCTTCTGCAGTAATTTCTGCCAATGAAGCACACTTTAATTTCTTTTTCTCTCTGTCCAGAGCAATGAATGATATTGGAGATTACATAGGTTCTAATGTGGAAATATCCTGGTTGCCCAATCTGGATGATCTAATGGAAGGCTATGCCCGGAATTTCAGGCCTGGTATTGGAGGTAATGCAGGGATATTTGGGGATGGGGTGGGGAAAGGGAAGGAAGGATTCTCTGTCCTGAGTCCAAGTAAATTCACATGGAGTCCCTGTGGGACAGTATATGCCCTACTGCTTCCTGAGATGAGCAGTGGGCTAGCCCATTCTTCAAGGACTGAGGTCTGTTTTAGGTTTGGGCTATTGCCCAATTAAAGACCTACCCCCACCAAGAGGTTATCTCTATACTTCAGAACTCTGGGAATTGGACAGCAGCATAAGCTGCTGGGGTAGGCAGTCCCCCAGATTTCTTACTGGTTCCCCCTTTATCAGCCTAAGTTTGCCCTGTCTGTGCCATCCAGGGCCAAGAACTTCAGATTAACATCGTAAGAAAAAAAAATCAGTACAATGTAATGAAAAGAAACAAGATTCTACTCTGTTAAGATGGTTCTACTGCTAAATCACCATGTGACCCTAGGCAAGTCAGAGCCCCTCTGTGGGCTTCATTTTTCTCCTCTCTAAAATGAGTAAATGGTCTCTAAGGCCCTCAAACTTCTAACATTGTAGGATTCTTATCATAATCGTGGCTATTACTATCTTACTTGAAAAACAGAGTGTGGAGGGGCAGCTAGGTGGCACAGTGGATAGAGCTCCAGCCTTGGAGTCAGGAGTACCTGAGTTCAAATCCAGTCTCAGACACATGACACTAGCTGTGTGACCCTGGGCAAGTCACTTAACCCTCATTGCCTCACCAAAAAAAAAAAAAAAACCACAGTGTGTAATGGATTAAAGTCTAGCATAGGAGTCAGGAAGACCCAAATTTCAATCCTACCTCTGACATAGTCTGGCTGTCTGCCCCCAGGCAAGTCATATTACTGCTCCATGTCCCTGGGCAACAATCTAAGATGCTAAGTTACATGCCAATGGATGCTGCTGCAGAGAGTTTCCATACTGGGAAGATACCTACCTAGATGAAGCCAAAGGACTGAACCAAAAAACAAATTGTTACTTGGGAATTGGAGGATTCCTACATATGATATGCCTCATCAAGGTGCTTTGGGTGATGCCGTGGATAGAGTTGGACCTACAGTTAGGAAGTCCTAAGTTCAGATCCAGTCTCAGACACTTACCAGCTGTAAGACCCTGGGCAAGTCATTTAACCTCTGTTCATCTCAGTTTCCTCATCTGTAAAATGGGAAAGATAATGGCACCTACCTCTCAGGCCTGTGGTGTGGATCAAATGAGATATTTGTAAAAGTGAATTGTAAACCTTAAGGTGCTATAGAAATGCTAGTTATTATTACTGGTGTTGTTATTAGTTAATCTACCAATTAATCTATCCAAAGAGCATTTATTAAACACCTACTATATACAAGACACTAGGCATACAAGGACAAAAATAGAACAGTCCCTGCTTTCAAGAAGCTTAAAATCTAGCTGGGACAAGCAATATATACATATACAGGTGTATATAAAATGGATGCAGCAGCACCATAGGTGACCATTTTATTGCTTCCTGTACAAAATGTATGGCAATCATTTTTGTGCTCTCTTTCTTTGCTTCTACTTACACCTCCATTCTGCAATAAAGTATTTGATAAGCAGGGAACATTTTACTGTTACAGGATTGGTGTTTGTGTTTTTAAAAAATAATTACAGTACTTTTTGGTTTTGCTTTAAAACACTACCTTTTCAGCTCATCCCGTTCTGCCTTTACTTTTTAGACACGTTCAGAGGATCCCTTTTATACTACATGCAATTTGTTGACCCATTATATTTGTACACGGCAGAAATGTATCCTTTTCCCAAATAATCTATTTTGCCATTATTGGCCAACAATAAGCCAAAATTAAATAAATGAATTTTTATGAAATAAAAAAAACCCAAAAACAAAATGGTTGCAGGGTGGATTTTGGTGAGAGAGGAGGAAGAAGGAACTGGAAGAATCAACAGATCATGGGATCCTAGATTTAGAGTTGGAAGAGAGCTGAAAGGTCACTGAGTCCTGGCCTTTCATTTTACAGATGAGGAAATGCTCTGAAATACAGGGATATTCTCCTACAGAGTGGTCTCTAACTGGGGACTAGCCCGAACCCAGAGCTGATCTCAGTCCCTGAGGAATGGGCCCATCTCAGGAAGCAGTGGGACAGTGAAGCCAAGGGTCTTTCCCGAGGTCATCCAGAGTCAGGATTCAAACCTAGGTCATCTGACTCCCAGGCCAGCATTCTTCCTAACGCACTGACATTAGGAACTGCTGCATTGCCTCTCCCACTCTGCCATGATACATGCAAGCTCTGGCAGGCCTTCCAAGCTGGAGGGACTTCAAGCACAGGCCCAGTAATGGACTGTTTGTCTTTAGTGCAAATAGTCTAGGTAAGAGCAGAAATAGATTATCACCAGGTTGGTCAAAGGCCACAAGCTGTTGTTGTTTTGAGTCACAATAACTCACGAAAATGGGCTACAAAGGCAGGGAGGTTTGGGAATCTGTATCCATTAAAGGTGGGAGAGACTCCTCATCATAACAAAATCCCAGACCCTTGAATACTGAAATACAAGTAATTACATTATTTCTATTGAGTCCAAGGACTCTCTGTTGGCCAGGGACCAATGCTGGCTCCTGTCTTTGGTTCAGGATTCTTTGGAAACCTGTGCTTGGGTATCTAAACTCCCTGGTGATGGGAACAGATGGGCTGGCTTTTCTGTCTCTGTTGCAGTGGGGGGATGGGGACTGCCCAGCACAAAGAACTTCTCTACTGCTTTTTCCCTTCTTTCAGGTCCTCCTGTGAATGTGGCTCTTGCCCTTGAGGTCGCCAGCATTGACCACATATCAGAAGTTAACATGGTAACTCTACCTTGTTACTGCTCCCTCTCATTGGCCACCCTTAGACAGGTTATTCCTCTCCCCCCTTATATACCTTCATGATGCAGCAGACATTCAAGGGGCAAGGTGAGGGAGGTATAACTAAACAGCAATTTACCTGAAAAATATCTGGGCATCTGAGTGGACTCCAAGTCCAACGTGGGTCAACTGAGAAAGTTAATATGTCTTAAACTACATCAAAAAGAGTAGCACCAAGGACTAGTGAATTGATGAAGGGCTCACTGAATTTTGCCCTTGTCAGACCATGCTTGAAGTATTGGGCTTAATTCTGGGCATTATCTTGAAGAAGAGTACTGATGGGCTGTAGAATGTTTGGAGAGGGTAACAGACTGGTGAAGGGCTTAGAGATCACTCCATATGAGGATAGATCAGAGGAACTGGGGATCTTTGATCTGGTGAAGAAAACCCTTAAGGGAGATGTGAGAGCCATCTTTAAGTATTTGAAAGGAGGATTAGCCAGGTTCTGCTTGGGTCTCTTGGGGCAGAACCAGTACAATGGGTGGAAGGTAGAAAGAAGCAAATTTGGGCTTGATGTCAGGAAAATTTTCCTGAGTTAGAGGCATATGATAGTGGAATAAGCTGCCTTGGGAAATAGTGGGTTCCCCATCACTGGAAGTCTTCAAGCAAGGGCTGAAAGACCAATTGCCAGGGATGTTGGAGAAGGTATCTTTGTCCAGCTGTGGGTTCAACTTGGTAGACTCTGGGTTCTCTTCCAACTTTGAGATTCTGAGATTCTGGCCACAAATAAGTGAGGCTATGGGGTGATCTGCTGCCTCTGGTTTCTCTCTCCCTTTCCCCACTCCAGGAGTACACCATGACCGTGTTCTTGCATCAGAGCTGGCGAGATGGTCGATTGTCTTACAACCACACCAATGAAACGCTGGGTTTAGATAGCCGTTTTGTGGACAAGCTCTGGCTCCCAGACACCTTCATTGTCAATGCCAAATCAGCCTGGTTCCATGATGTAACAGTGGAAAACAAACTTATTCGGCTGCAGCCCAATGGGGTGATTCTATACAGTATCAGGTAAGGTCCACATCCCCACACAGTGGCTCATACAATAACTGTGCTCCAGAATTCTAGCATCCAGGACAAGCAGGAGGAAACTGCCCTCTAATCCACAATGTCAAAATAACACAAGAAGGAATGAAGACAAATTCAATCCAGTTCAATTAAGTTTAACAAGTATTTATTAAGCGCCTGCTATATCCCAGGTGTTGGGGATATGAGGCAAAAACAAAAAAGTCTCTTCCTTCAAGGTGTTTACATGTGCATAATTTTTTAAAAATACAAATAATTTTTAAAGGTGATCACAGTATAATATAAAAGGTGGCTTGTTTATAATAGAACAGGAATTCCAGAGGGCACAATGGAAGAGTGAACTCGAGAAGGACAGGGACACAGAAGGATGACAAGGATAGATATGATAGATATGAGAGCGTAGGGAACAGTGGCCAGGAAAGAGAGTGTTGGCCCAGATAGCCTCAGATTCTGAATCAGAGATTCTAAGAAGAGCCATCATGCAGTAAATGTTCATGCCCTTCACTGAAGTAATAGTATTACTGATTTGATTATCAATCTCTCAGCAAGAGGTTAAAAACAAGAGTAGGGAAAGGAGGAAGGAGGAATTTATGCATATGACAGGGCTGTCTGATGGTCAAGACAGGGGGTTGGTAGAACCTTGGGGTCTGGCTGATTATAAAAGGGGTAGAGGGTCTTTGAGGTGCTCACCCTCTAATTACCAGTCAGGTCAGATCTGCCATAGGACTGCCTCCATTGTCAAGTAGATTATCCCCCTTGGGACTGGATATTCAATTGATGGCATTGAAAGACTCTAGGGTAGCCAGGTCAAACTCAGATAGAAATGAAGTTACTAAACTATACATAAGGATCTCATGTAGGTGGCATATTGACAGCATATTAGAAATGTTACCATTTATATGGTCTATCACATTTTTATTTTTTTTGTTAAATATTTCCCAATTACATTTTAATCTGGTTCTGATCACACTTCAGAATATTGTTGGCCTCATTGTAGCCTATGGGCATGTGTTGGAGACTCTGCCTTAGAATACCCTGAGGTCTTTGTTGGAGAGGCAGTCAACTATGAAGGGAGTTCACCTGGGATGCAGCTTCTGGGGAAAGGAAGTATGACATCTGCTTATATTTTATTTTAATTAATTATCCTTGCTAACTAAGTACTTAGCTCAGCTGTTTATATGCTGCTGAAGGGACGTGGGTGATATTAAAATATAAATATAACAAAATTTAGAATTGGGAAATCTTTAAAAATCATTAAGGTTTTGTAGCCTCTGGATTTCAGCACCCTGGAGAAGAGCCCCATGGCCATAACCTAGTTAGATATGTACCTTTTACCACTAGAATGGCATGCTAAATAGCAGCATTCTCTTTCCTTCCTAATCTATGCTTGATAATTGAATCAGCATTCTTTTTCCAAAAGGGGCCTTTCCCTCCTCCTGGGGGAAATTTTTTTTTATTAACATCAGAGGAAGATTGTAGCACTGCATTTCTCTGCTTCAACCCAGAGCCTGACTTCATCATCGCTGACCCACAAATGATATTCTGAACACAGGGAGATGAACCAAGCCCCATGGAGAAGCTGAGACTTTAGCTTTGTCTACTCAGCAATACACATATAGATGAAAGCAACAACAACAAGAAAAAAAACTAGTCATTTTGTCCACTTAGAAAAATCTAGAAATATGCTTGGTAACTGTTATTTATGTATAAATTCAAAAGTGGTTTGAATTTTTAGAAGTTCAGTTCAATGTAACATGTAAATTATTGGGTACCTACCATAGGCCAGTCACTGTGGTTGGCACTGTGAATAAAACACAAAAATTAATATGGCCCCTACCTTCGAAGAGTTTACCATGGGGGACTGGAGAGGGGTAGAATATGTTCATAGATAAATAAAGATAAAACGTACACAAAGTAAGTACAAAGTAATTTTAGGTAAACCATTCCTGTTATTATTTTCCTGGATTTTTATTTAGAGATTTAAAAAATTAAGTTTCATATTAAATAATTGAAAAGTCTACAGTATGAATTCATGATCTAAGAGTTCTATTTTGTTTACAAGTGAAAATTTTATTGACAGCTTTATTGATAGTAGGGAGATAAGGGAGGGTTTCATGTAGGAGGTGGCCTCTGAGCTGTGCTTTGAAGGAAGCTAGGAATTCTTTTTTTTTACATTTATTTATTAAATATTTTCCAATTATACTTTAAAATTTTAACATTAGGTTTTTTTTAAATTTGAGTTCCAAATTCTCTCCCTCCCTTCCACCCCTCCTCTACCCCTAGAGCAGGCAAGCAATATGATATTGACTATACATGGGAAGTCATGCAAAACATTTCCTTATTGGAAGCTAGGAATTCTTGAAAGAATTATCTTTTGTCTTTCTATCACCTTTACTTCTGAATACATTCTTCCCCTTTCTTTCTTCTCCCTGGGGACTCATCAAGTCATCCCTTGTAACACAGAATGAAAAGGAAAAAGGAAAATCATTAGACTGTAAGCTTGAGATCAGGGACTGTCTTCTTCCTTCTTTCTTTTTTGAAGGAATTGGGGTTATGTGACTTTCAGTCAGTAAATGTCTGAGGCTGAATTTAAACTCAGGTCCTCCTAACTCCAAGGCCAGTACTCTTTCCACAGGGACTGTCTTTTGACTGTTTTTGTATGCTCCGCACTTAGCGCAGTGCCTACCACATAGTAGGTGCTTCATAAATATTTATTGCATTGAATGTTTATTTTTTTTTAAGTTTATCTAACCCCTCAACTGAGTCTGATACCATATAAATTATTCCACACTCATTTCCCTTGACCTGTGCAAAGAAGGAAGGAGTTATATTTTTTAAACCTCTTCTCGAAGGCTAAACTTAGCCATTATGATTATATAGCATTCTATTTCATTATTTATTGTTCTTTCTTTTAATATTATTGTTGTTACTGTATATATTTTTCTTGGTTCTGTTTATTTCAATCAATCAACAAATATATATTAAGCCCCTACTATGTGCCAGGCATCATGCTAGTCAGTGGGGACAAAATTATGAAGAATGAAACAATCCCGACTCACAATGAGTACATTCTAATGAGGGAGACAAGTTAATAATGATGAAGATGATGATGATAGCCAACATTTACATAGTACCTACTATGTGCAGGCATTATGCAAAGCCTTTTACAATTATTATCTCATTTGATCCTCACAACAACCTTGGGAAGTGGGTGTTATTATTATCTCCATTTTACAGATGAGAAAAGTGAGGCAAACAGAGGTTAAGTGACTTGCCTAGGGTCACACAGCTAGCAAGTGTCTCAGTGTCAGATTTGAACTCTGGTCTTAACTACAGGATGAGCATTCTATCCACTGTATCATGATGTATGAATGCACATGTATACAAATATATATATACAAATATTGGGCAGCTAGGTGGCACAGTGGATAAAGTGTTGGGTCTAGAGTCAGAAAGACTCATCTTCCTAAGTTCAAATCTGGCCTTAGAGACTTACTAGCTGTGTGACCCTGGGCAAGTCACTTAACCCTCTTTATCTCAGTTTCCTCATCTGAAAAATGAGCTGGAGAAGAAAATAGCACACCACTGGAATATCTCTGCCAAGAAAACCTGAAACGGCATCAGGAAGAGTCAGACACAACTGAAAAATGACTGAACAACAACAATAAAATACAAATATATACAAAGAAGCTGAATATAAAATAGTTTGGGACAAAGGACACTAGCAGTTGGGGAGGTGGGATGAAATGTGGCCTTGTTCCTTTTTTTTTTCCTCCGGTGAGGCAATCAGGGTTAAGTGACTTGCCCAGGGTCACACAGCTAGTGTCAAGTATCTGAGGTTGGATTTGAACTCAGGTACTCCTGACTCCAGAGCCAGTGCTCTATCCACTGAGATGCCTAGCTGCCTGCGTGACCTTTTTCTGCATCAGTTCATATAAGTCTTCTCATGCTTCTCTGGATGTTTCATATGCATCAGCATTCCTTTGGTGAAATAATGTTCTTACATTCATGCACTGCTGTTTGTCTGGCCGTTCCTAATCAATAGACATTTACTTTGTTTCTGGTTTTGTGCTTCCCACCATCCTTGGGGTGCCATATTGAATAACAACCCTTGCCTCCCTTCCTGATTTAGGTTTGAAAGGTGAATCAGGTGTTCTCTTCCAGAAAGGGCCCACTTCCTCTTTCCCTCTTCCTTGTTAACTGGTTGGCTGCATTTTTGATTTTCATCCAGATGTTTATCATCCCCACAATCACAGTCACCAAAGGGTCAAGTGAGTTACTCAGTCATTCTGAAAGTCAATGACAGTCTGGTGATTAGTAAAGAAGCTACCTAATGGGTGCTTCCTACTCCCTGAGCATAACCCGCCTGGCTCTCTTCTGAGGAGGGCTGAAGGGTGAATGAAGGAATGTCTCCTCTCTCTTTCCTCTTGTTTTTCTTTTCCTGGAGGCAGAATCACCTCTACAGTGGCCTGTGACATGGACCTCTCCAAGTATCCCATGGATGAACAGGAATGTATGCTAGACCTGGAAAGCTGTAAGTACCAGCTGAGCAGCCTGGACCCTGCTGGAAACTTCTTCTTAGGGAAAGGAGGCTTCAGCTTATAGCCTGTATTTCCTCCCACACCTTCCTGTAAATACAGATAGAATCAGAACTATCAATTTTGATATGAGGGGACAAATCTCACCAAAAAGGGTTTGGAAATTGAACCATCATTCTCTTCTCTTTCCCTCCTCCTGGGGGAAAATTTTATTAACAGGGGAACGAAGACAGGTTGACCCTGCTCAGGTGTGATCATACCAGGGGTGGGATGGCTGATCTCGAAGACAGTCTAGCCCATGTCTCTGCAAAGCAGCTGATGATCCCCAACCCATTAACTCCTGGAAGATGACAGACAGGGAAGAGGGGTGCAGGTGTGGGAGGATTCAGGCCCCAGGAGACCATCTGATAGCAATGAGACTTTGGTGATTATGTCCCACTTCTGGGTGAAGGAATAAGGTCATGGGACAGGTAACTATGGTGTGGTTGACTGGTAAGTCAGGGAAGGAAATATGCTTCCTGGAATATAAGCATGCTGATGCAAAGCTCCAGTCACTCTGACCTAGTTATGGTTCTGAGCTCCCATCCCATATCTTCTTGCCCAGGTGCCTATGACAGATACAGGCCAAACTCAAGATGATGAATTAAGGACTATGCTAACTTTTGGCTTTTCATAAGCTAGAAAGTACCTCCCAAAAGAGGGTTTTTCATTCTGAGCAGGAAGCATGATCAGAGGACTCCCTTCTTTCTAGTTATAAGATCATAGATTTAGAACTGGAAGACCACTGAGTCTAACCCTCTCATTTTACAGATGAGGACACTGAGGCACAGAGAGGTTAATATGATTTGTCCAGGGTCACATGGTTAGTAAATGCCTGAGGTAGGATTTGAACCCAGATATTTCTGACTCAAAGTCCAGCATTCTAGCCACTATGTCATACTGCTTCTCAACAATCCTAATAATTGTGTCTTGGGGAAATCTGAAAAAGATATTCTAAAGGTATGTGGGAACCCCATCCATTGTTTGGGCTTTGATTTTTGCCAGGACTACTTCACTTAGCAGCTCATTCAGGACAAATATAGACAGGAGGATTCTGACACATTCCAATTCCAACTTAACCTGCATTCATTAAGCACCTACTATGTGCCAGGTACAGTGCTAAGTACTGGGGATACAAAGATAATACAAAAAAAAACCCCAGCCCTTACTCTTAAGGAGCTTACTTCCTGCTTGGGGCAGGGGAGGGAATGAGACAACAAAACATGGACTGAAACAAGCAAATGCAAAGCATATACAAAAAAAATTCAAAGTCATTTCAAGAGGGAGGGGACATTAACAACTAGAGAAATATGGAAAGGTCTTGTCTAGACCTTTGTGGCACCTGCACTTATCTGAAGGGAGCCAGAGAGTCTCCAAGGCACTGAATGCATTCCTATTACCAGAACTGTCCTGGCCTGGCGTGAGCCAGAGTGCATAATGCATGGAGCATTGGCCTCAGAGTCAGGAGGACCTGGGTTCAGATCATGCCTGTCTCCCATGTTGGTTGTGGGACCATCAGGCAAGTCAATTAACCTCTACGATTATAAATTGAAGAGCAGGTGGTAGGCTGCTTTGGTAAAGGGACTTTCCTCACTTGGGAATTCTCCAAACCAGACCAGGGTTGAACGGGGAAAAAAATAGAAGAGTTTGGGAAAAAAGAAATCCCTCTGAACCCCAGTTTGCTCATCTGTAAAATGGCAGCATCACAGAATGGTTGTGAGGATCCAATGAGATAATATAGGTAAGATACATTATTACCCTTAAAGCCCTATAGAAATGTGAATTCTTGACAAGATTGAATGAACCTTCTTTCTCAAGCAACCCAAACAACATTTACCTCTTCCCTCCTCCACAGTCATTGGCCTCCTAGTTCCAGTAGTCAGAGATCTGAAGCTGAAAGGGATCTAAGAGATCATCAAATCCAACCCCTTTGTTTTATACATCAGGAAATTGGGCCATAGGGAAGCTAAAGACTTGGCCAGGGTCACCCAGCTAATAAGTGTCTGAGGAAGGATTCAAACCCAGGTCTTTCTGACTCCAAGGTCAATGCCCTATCCACTCCAGCAATTAGACTCTCAAAGTACCTACATTCCCTAGAATGTAGTCCTTACCTTGCTCTTAGCTTTTCCTTCACTGGACAGTTCCCAGAACCTAATCATACAGATTGACTCAGAGAGAACCATGCACCCTCCTCCTAGTGATAGAACTCAGTTGGGGATCCTTACAGTTCAATCCACATTTGAAGAGAAGCCCTGGTGTTTTCTACACTCTCATATACAAGGGCTGGTTCCTCTGAATCTGCTCTGGGTTGCTAAAGAGTCTGCCTATCTTGCGAACTTCATTTGTTGGGTTTCTAGACCCTCAGTATCAAAAGATAATGTTCTCATTGATCTAGGGCTGGAAGGAACCTCAAAGACTTCTACCACAACCTCCTCCTCATTGTACAGAGGTCTAGAGAGAGGAAATAATTTGTCCAAAGCCCCACAGGTTTTAAATGGCAAAGTCAGAATTTGAACCCAGGCTCTCTGACAGAAAATCTAGAATTCTTTTCACCACATCTTGCTTTTTCCTACCCTGTGAAGCATTCATGATCTCAAACACATGAGGGAAACTACCATCTTCATCGGGTCCTGGGCAGAAGAGCATGGGGGCGGCTTGGGAGCTGCCTTCAGAGCTTAGCCTTCACTGTTCTATTGGTCTGATTTCCTTTGCAGATGGTTACTCTTCGGAGGATATTGTTTACTACTGGTCAGAAAACCAAGAGCAAATTCACGGCTTAGACAAGCTACAGTTGGCACAGTTCACCATCACCAACTACCAGTTCACCACTGAACTAATGAACTTCAAATCTGGTAACAAGGCTTCCCTGGTTCAGACAGCATTGGACATGGCCAACTTTATTTATAAAAAAAAAAAGACCCAAGTTCATAGGAGTTGATGATAAGAACATAGCCAGGCTCCAGAAGGGTGAAAATTAGTTATTTCTCTTATATCTTCTTTTTTGCTTCAACCAAGGACCACTCTGGGTTTCATTGGAACTAAGTGTACAGATGGATCTTCCCAAGGCAAGTGGGTTCAATCACTCTGCCCTGGATGGACCCACTCTGCAATGTTGTATTCAGTTACGGACACCCCATTTTAGAAAGGACATTGATAATCTGGAGAGTGTGTAGAGGAGGGTGACCAGGTCAGTGAAGGGATCATAGGATTCTAAATCTGGAACTGAAAGGGATTTCAGAGAGGCCATCTAGTCCAACCCGTCATTTGACAGATGAGGAAACTGAGGCTTTGAAAGATGAAGTGAATCAAAATATCAGAGGAGAGATCTGAACTCAGATCTTCTTGACTCCAAGGTCAACATTCTACCCACCATTTTTTGAGGTGATGCAGTAGGAGGATCATTTCAGGAGTTGGGGAAGTTTAGCTTGGAGAGGAGAAAATTTAGGGAGGAACATGATAGCCATCTCCCAGTATGTGGAGGGTTGTCATGTGGAAAAAGAGAGAGATTTGTTCTTCTTGGTCCCAGAGAACGGAACTAAGAGGAATGGGTAGGAGTTATGAAGAAATGAATTTAGAGAAACTTTCTAACAAATAATACTAGCCAAAAATTTCATTAGGGCCAGCTAGGTGGCACAATGTATAGAAAGCCCTGGACCCAGAGTCAGGAAGACCTGAGTTCTAATATGACCTTACACACTTACTAGCCATTTGATCCTGGGCAGGTCTCTTGACCTCTGTCTGCCTCAGTTTCATCATCTGCAAAATGGGGATAATAATAACCCTTGCTTCCCAAGGTTGTTGTGAGGATAAAATGAATTAATATTTTTACGTTTCTTTGCAAACCTCTGTACAAATTTAGGGTTAAGGTCATATAAATGGTAGCTATCATTATTTTTATTATTGGGAATGGACCACCAAGGATTGTGTTTCCTTCCTTCTGGAGGTCTCCAAATAAAGGATAGAAGGATGCTCACTTGTCAGGGATGGTCTTGGTCAGGTGTGGCTGGACCCAGATAGCCACTGAGGCCCCATCCAATGATGGAAATCTCTCATTCTGGGAATGGCTCTGACTGTTCAGTCTCTGACAATTGGGCTGTCAGGGCCAAGAAAGCCAACAATATGGGTAGAGAATGCCTACAGAAAGATGGGAATTGGGGCAGCTAGGTGGCGCAATGGTTGGAGCACCGGCCCTGAAGTCAGGAGGAGGTGAGTTCAAGTCTGGCCTCAGACCAAACATTTGACGCTTAACTAGCTGTGTGACCCTGGGCAAGTCACTTAACCCCAATTGCCTAAAAAGAAAAAAAAAGAAAGATGGGAATCTATAAGATTATAGATCCAAAGTAGGAAGGCTCTCTAGAGGTCCCAGGAGCATAAATTTGGAGGGGGAAAGGACCTTAGAGATCAGTGATTCACTCTCTCATTTTAAGAGGAGGAAGCTAAGACCAAGGGAGTAGAAATGACTTGTCCAAATTCATGCAGACACTTAAGTTTCATAGGCAGGATTTAAACCCAGGTCACCTCTTATCCCTTGACTCTTTCCATTGTACTTCACTATTTCCTAGAACATTAGAGTTGCTGTTTCCTGAGTTTTTTGAGAGTAATGAGTCTTTCCTAGGCTTGGGTTGTGGATGTGGCAGGGGGCTCAGAGTTGTGATGCTTTCTCTGCTAGGGCTGTACTGTTTGAAAGAGGCATTGTTTTGTGACCAAGTATGGGCCGAGGTTTGGGGGGGTGAGGAGGATAGAGGGTCAGCATCGGGGCTCTTTGTTCCTTTCTGTGGCTCTCAGGAGCCCCTTCCACATGCCGAATGCTTAGCAAGCGTCCCGCCTGACAGTCCTCCTCCTATGAATGGGCTGTTGGGCAGAGATGAGCAGAACCTACCATTTTTTGCACTTACATAGCCAGATGTAGACCAAGAGCCATAAGGCAACAGGGGTTTATGTGTGTGTCTTACAGCAGGACAGTTTCCCAGACTCAGTCTACACTTCAACCTGCGGAGGAACCGAGGTGTCTACATCATCCAGTCCTATATGCCTTCCATCCTTCTGGTTGCCATGTCCTGGGTCTCCTTCTGGATCAGTCAGTCTGCTGTACCTGCCAGAGTGTCACTAGGTAAAGAGGGTGTGAGCTCAGGGAAGAGGCCAGGAGTACAAGGGCGTGAGAGAGGGAGGAGATAAAGGATCACAGATCTTGAGATAGAAGGGACCTTAAGTCCAATACCCTCTTCTTGTTGATGAGGAAACAGAGGCAGACAAAGGTGAAGTGACTTGCCCAGGGTCACACAGCTGATAAGTATCTGAGGAGGGATTTGAACCCAGGACTTCCTGACTCCAAGTCCAGTGCTCTATCTATCATACCATGCTGCCTCTATGGAGGAAGGAAAGAAAGGATGGCTGCCATGGTTCTCACAATGGCCATTTACATGATTGAATTTCCAAGGGTGGCTGGGAAAGGTTGGGGCCACTCCCTCTTCACTATGGAAAAATGTGCAAGTCAATTCATAAGTTGACTCAGCAAACATCTGAGTGCCCTGGGAGAGGGAGGGACAATGAGAGGGTAAGGGACTCTGACGCCAGAATACTGGCATCAACAAGTGGTGACTTCAGGGGAGTCACGAGAAAAGAACCATATTTATTAGGAGGTGGAGCCTTCTGGAATGCATGAGCTAAACTTCAAATCCCACTTTAGACACCAGCTGTGTGACCCTGGGCAAATCACTTAGCCTTTGTCTGCCTCAGTTTTATCTGTAAAGCAGGGATGGTAATTGTTGTGAGGACCAAACTTGATCTTATGTGTAAAACATTTTGTAGCCCCTAAAGTTCTATATGAATGTGAGTTATTATTATTATTAATGAAGAGCTACATAAATTCTAGTTATTATTATGAAGAACAAGTCTTACAATATTGTTCTTCTGCTCAAGAACCCTTACTGACTCCCTATTGCCTCTAAAAGAATACACAATCTCCTCAGCTTGCCATTCTCTAAACTGGATCTTCATCTCACCTCTGTTCTCTGCTCAGGCTATCTATCTCCTATACCTGGATTGTACTTCCTCTTCACATATGCCTCTTAGAATTTCCAGATCCTAACCAAAAGGGGCAGCTAGGTGGTGCAGTGGCTAGAGCACTGGCCCGGGAGTCAGGAGGACCTGAGTTCAAATCCAGCCTCAGACACTTGATACTTACTAGCTCGGTGACCCTGGGCAAGTCACTTAACCCCATTACCAAGCAAAAAAACCCAAAAATACAAAAAAAAAAAAAGAAAAGAAAAGAAAAGAAAGAACGAATTCCCGGATCCCTTCAAGGTCCTCCTCTTATGGAAAACCTTTTTTGATCCCATTAGCTGTTAATACTCTTTCCACATTCCTTTAATAACCATGTATTTCCCTGCCTATACTATTTCTCTGCTGCACTGCCTTCTCCCAATAAAATGCAATATTAATAATAATAATAATAACAACCAAAACAAGAGAGACAGGGACCAGAACTTGACCCATGATTTCATTGGTACAAGGAACTTATGGGTGAGGACATTCCCTTTGCTGATGCAGGTTGGTACCTTCTCTTCAAGTTGTAATCTCTGAGAGCTGTCCGAAGTACTGAGAGATGAAGTGGCTTGTTTTTCTTAGTAGCTGTTATTCATTATAAATGAAGCAATGATTATTATGAATCAAATTTATATAACCCTTTAAAATTTGAAAAACTCTTCACCTACAGCACTTCATTTGCCCTTCGCCTGTGAGTGCTATCATTGTTCCCACTTCACAAATAAAGGAATTGAAGCTCAGAGTGTCAAGTGATCTGGCCAGGGTTATAGAGCTGGGAAATATCTGAGCTTCCATAGTTTCAAATCCAGGTCTTCCAAGTCTGGGGCTCTTTCCACTGTGGCACACTGCCACTTAAGTGAAATAGTGAATAAATCCCTGGGCTTGGAGTCAGGAAGTCCTGAGTTCAAATCTAGCCTCAGACATTTACTAGCTGAGTGACCCTGGTCAAGTAATTTAACGTCAGTCTACTTTGGTTTATTCAACTGTAAAATGGAGGTGATAATAGCACTTACCTCATAGGGTTGTGAGGACTAAATAAGACACTATTTGTTAAGTACTTAGCATAGTATTTGGCTCTCAGTGGTGTTTAATAAATGCTTCCTTCTTTCTTTTCTCCTGTCCTGCCTTCTTTCCCTTCTTCCCTACTTCCTTAAGGGCAGGGACTATTTTTATTTTTTGTCTTTGTGTTTCCCAATGACTACCACAGTGCTTTGCACACAATAGGCTCTCAATAAATGCCTGTTGGATTTGCCTGGTTGCCTGACTGGCTCTGTTGACTGCCCTCTCCCAGGTATCACCACAGTGTTGACAATGACCACACTGATGGTCAGTGCCCGCTCTTCCCTCCCTCGGGCATCAGCCATCAAAGCTCTGGATGTGTACTTCTGGATCTGCTACGTGTTTGTGTTTGCTGCACTGGTGGAGTATGCCTTTGCCCACTTCAATGCAGATTATATGAAGAAGCAAAAGGCCAAGCTGAAGGTCACCAAGCAAAGCAGCGAGGTGAGCGTCCCAGGGAGTGGGACTCAGAGGCCCTCCCAGCAGGCAGTCCCCTTTGCTTGGCATCCAGGGTCAGGGACAGGCCCTTTCCCTCCTAGGGAACTGTCAGAGATGCTGCTCTGTACCTTCCCTCCCACTGAGTGCAGCCTGACTCTCAGCCTACTGCCAATTCTCAGCATAAGTGGCTGGGAGCTGGTTGTCCCTGTGCCAACATGGGAGGAGAATGGGCATCCAGCAGGCTTGTGATACAAGCTGCTGGTGGGCAGAGACAGAGCTGTTCCTTTTTATTTCTTAGAGCAGGGCTTGTCACTGGGACCCTTCCCATAATAGGCACCTCCTAAATGCTTATTGAATCAAACTGGACAAGGTAATAGGGAGGTAATGTGGAGGCCTTTGAGTCAGAAAGACATGGGTTCAAGCCCTGCCTCTGACACACACATTGTTTAACTCTGGACAAGTCACAGAGATAGACAGATGATAGATAGATAGATGATATATACAATGAATGGAAGGATAGACAGACAGATAGATGGATAGACAGATAAATAAATACATACATAGAGATAGAGATGATAAATATAGATAGATGGAATGATGGACAGATGGATGGACAGACAGATGATATAAGATGGATGGAGGGAAGGAAGGATGGATGGTTGGATAGACAAACAGACAGATAAATAAGTGATATATAACATGGATGGAAGGATGAATAGATAGATGATATATAAGATGGATGGAAGGAAGGATAGATGGATGGACAGAGACAGATAAGTAGATAGTATATAAGATAGATGAAAGGAAAGATGGATAGATAAGATGGATGGAAGGATGGACATATGGATGGACAGAAAGACAGATAAATAAAAAAATAGAGATGATAGGGAGATAGAGATTATATATATATGGAGAGAGAGAGAGAGTGTGTGTTAATGAGCACTTACTACGTTCCAGGCACTGGCCTAAGTACTGAGGATACAAATACAAGCAAGCAAGACAGTGTCTCCCCTCAAGGGGCTCACATTCTAATAGGGGAAGGCAGTACATGAAGGGGTTTGGGGGTTGCGGGATGGAATTGGAAGAAGGCCACCCAAACAAGGACAATGCAGCTGATGGGAAGAAGTCCAGAGAAAGTCCAGTCAAAAATGACGTGAAGCACGCTGCTGTCCTTCCTGAAATCATGGTCCTGGGGAGGGGGACACCAATATGGAGGTTTCTTAGGTGAACTGTGAGGCATGCTGGGAAAAGGAGGAGGGGTCTAGAAAGAGTCCAGGTGGTGGCCCAGACACTGTTCTAAGTGGTAGAGGAGGTGCCTACTATCTGAATTGATCAAAGGAGTCTGCTCAGTGAGAGCCCGGTATAGAACTGAAGTTACAGCCCAAACCAAAAACAAATAAAGAAGCCTGCTTCTGTGGGGTTCTCTCTAGCTTTGCTGGGGCTGAATCCTTTCCTTCCTTTTGCAGATTCTTGATTTTAAGGAACTGGGGTTGTTTCGCCTGCGAAAGACTCAGGGGGGTGGGGGTGGGAAACATGGCAACTGATTTTAAGTTATCCGAAAGGATGTCATGGGTGCAACTTGCTTTGCTTCCAGAGAGTAAAGCCAAGAGTGATGGGTGGAAATTAAGAGAGAAGTAGATTTATACTTAATGTCAGAAAAAATTTTCCTCAGTGAAACAATAGTCAAAAAGCATTTATTAAGCACCTACTATTTACCAGTCGCTATGCTAAATGCCGGGGATACAAAGAAAGGCAAACGATAGTCAACAAGCATTTATTAAGCACCTGCTATATGCCAGATACTGTGTCAAGCACTGGGGATATAAAGAAAGGCAAAAGATAGTCCCTGCCCTCAGGAAACTCACATCTAATGGTGAAGACAACATACTTAGAGCTATATACAAATAGTCTATTGATAGGAGAAATTAGAAAGAATGAATAGAGGGAAGGCACTAAGAGTCAGGACAAAAAGGAAAGGCTTCTTATAGTAGGTGGGACATTAGTTGGGGCTTGAAGGAAGGCAGGGAAGTGCAAAGGCAGAGATGAGGAGTGAGAGTGTTCCAGGCTTTGGGGACAACCGGAGAAAATGCTTCAGAAGGCCAGCGTCACTGAATCATGGAGTACATGGAGGGCAGTAAGAAATAAGAAGACTGGGGAGGTAGGAAAGGGCCAGGTTCCGTGAAGTCTAAAAGGGGAATTAGAGGTTGTAGGAGTGTAAGATCACAAATCTGGAGCTGGGAGTTCATTGGGTCATAGTATCCACAGGTCATAGATTCTACATTCTTTGCTCTCCTTTTATTTTATTTGTATTTTCCCAATGGTTAACCATTCTCTCTCTGAGAAACAATGAAACAGAAAGCAAGACAAACTCTTCAGAAACATAGATCAGGAAACAAGCTCATGGTACAATCTTTGTAAAGTACTTAACAGTGCCAGACATATAATAAGTGCTTAATAAATGTGTGTCCCTTCTTTTCTCCCTTAGTGAGAGAAATGAGAATGTTAAAACCGTGGTTTTAAGGATTGGAAAACAGGTTCAGAGACTTGCTCAAGGCCACACAGCTAGTAAGTGGCAGATGTGGAATTTGAACTCAGGTCCCATGGATCCAAATTCAATACTTGTGTTTCTACTAAGCCATATCCATTTTACAGATGAGTGCATTTCAGCACCCTTTCATATATTGTCTTCTCCCAGTGGAATATAAGCTCCTTAAGGATGGGGACTGTCTTTTTTTCCCCAGCTTGGATTTATATCCCCATCATTTTTAGCACAGTGACGGGCACATAGTAGGTACTTGATAAATGCTTCTTGACTTGACTAGGTCACACAGGTAGTGAGTAGCGGTGGGTCTCCCCTCACTGGAGGAGAGCTGAGGCTGGTGGACTCCTTGTCAGGAACGTTGTTGAGTCTAGTTTAGAAATGGATTCGACTCCGTAGCCCCTGAAATCCCTTCTCACTTGGAGATTCTCTGACTCTTAAAGATACTGAGGACCATGTGTTCACCTTCTGTCCTTCCAGATCCAGCTTTGTTCTTAGTGCTTTCTTTATTCCAGGGCTTAGCATCAGGCCTGGGGCACAGTAGGCACTTGTGTACGTAATTGACTGTCTGATTGAATGATTAGAAGAATCAGTCCCTGTCCTTCATGACTCAGGGCTAAGCCTGCTACTTCCGGGACAAGGGCAAAGAGGGTGGGGACAGGGTAGTGGGTGCAGTGTGTGCGCTCCACCAGCAGACAGATCCTGTGAGGCCATCACAGGTCCTTTTTCCTCCCCAACCACTAACCGACATTCTCTAGGGAGAGGCAGTTTAGCATAATGGTTAGGACTTCCTGACTTTAAGTCAAAAAGACCTGGGTTCAAGTCCTGCCTGAGAAGGACCCAAAAAATGTCACTTAACTGTGCCTCAGTTTCCCCCTCGGTAAAATGAGGGGCTTGTGAAAATAAAGTTCAGCTAAAAAAATAAATTGAAGGGGTTAGACTCTATAGCATTGAACATCCCTTCCAGCTTTCAGTCTGTGACCCCTCCGATCCCTTGCAGATCAATGTGAAGAATGCCATCGTGCTGTTCTCCCTCTCTGCTGCGGGTATCAATCAGGAGCTGGCCATTTCCCATCGCCAACACAGAATCCCAGGCAACCTCATGGGCTCCTATCGCTCCGTGGAAGTGGAGACAGGGGAGATGAAGAAACAGGAGGGAACCACAGCTGGAAAAAAGGGAGGCTTGAGGTCATTTTTCAAGCCCATCGATGCTGACACCATAGATGTCTATGCCAGAGCAGTGTTTCCAGCAGCCTTTGCTGCTGTCAATGTTATCTACTGGGTGGCATACACCATGTAAAAGCAGCCACACACACATACACACACCACATACACATACATTCCCATACACAATACATACACTCATACACACACACACACACACACACATCTTCTGGAGCTAGTGGATGCAGCTGTCGGACACTCCAGCCCCAATTTCACTTCACTGCTACGAAAGAGACGCTAGACCTCTGGTCTGGTTTGTACTTTGACTTTTTTGTTTTTTCAGTGGAAGGGGGAAAAATCCCTGAAGAAAAAAAAAACCTTTGAAACCTCTGGCTTCACCTCACTACTGACCAGGCAGAGGAACATCTTTCCAGTTCTGGATTCCTCAGTTTACCCCTTGTACTGGTACTGGAAAATGAACTCCAAAGGCTAAGCTACCCCAAGATGATCAGATTGGGGTCACAGCAGCAGAAAATGTTCCTGGAATCCTAGAAGGGAACAGAGAGAACATCAAATCTCCACCTCTCATTTTACAGAAAAGGAAACTGAGGCTCAGAAAAGGGAAATAACTTCTTCCAGTCACATAGATGGCTTTGCCAGTCCCAGCTGTTTCTTTCTAACTTGAGGTCTGACCTCTTGACTTCGGGGTGACTGAGCACTCTGTGGGAGATCTGGATTTTTGGACCCACAGGATGCTTCTCCATTTCTAGGTTCTCTGGGGTTGGTAAGGGAGGGAGCCTGAGGGTTCTCACTGTGGTTATTGTGTATCTTGGATTAAATGTTAAAAAGGGGAAAAAAATCTCAGCTGATCTCTGGCCCCCACATGTAAGAAAGGATTTCTCCTAGAAGGAAGCTGCATTCTTCAATGACAGCTTCCCTAGTCCCTGTGCCTGCAGGAGATGCCTGCACCCCTGAGGAGGAGGGCCTGGCATGTGATGCTTTTGAACACGACAAGGAAAGAAGGAACGTTTGAGCAGGATGATGCCCCTTCCTGCTTCTGCCTGTTGTGTGACTCAAGCTTGACTTTATAAGGCCAGAGGAAAAAAAGATGAAATATTGGAGGCTTTCTTTTTTCTATCCTTGGTCCTATTTATAACTTAAATAAAATCACTGATATCACCAGGGAAGAGAATACTGTGAGGAAAAAGAAATGATTCTGAACTTAACCCTCAGAGAAAACATCTCCATAGTTGGTCATGTTCAAATGGCTGATTCCATCCTTAACGGAAACTTTGCGCCCTACAACTCCAGAAAGCTGTGGGCTGACTTTGGCCCCTGTATGTCCCCACAAGGCAGGTTGTTCTACTTACTAGCAGAGCTGAGGAGTGACAGAGGTTTGGTTCTTTCTGATAGGTGATATTCATAATAAGGGCTAATGTCTATAGATATATAAATATAATGTATAATTACATATAATATATTAGCATTATATTATTATATAATGCTAATATAGTATTATATAATATAATATATTATACAATAATATATAACATAAAATTTATATATTTATAAATGTTATTACAACAACCCTTTCTTTAATTTAGTCAATTTATTAATATTTATAAAGCACCTACTACATGCCAGGCTGTGGCTAGGGGTTGTGCTAAGCATTAGGATACAAAAAGAAGCAAAAAAACTGTCCCTGCCCTCAAGGTGCTTCCAATCTAATGGGGGAGGCAACCTGCAAGCAAATATATACAATTGTTAAGTTGTTTCATTCATGTCTGACTCTTCCTGAGCCCATTTGGGATTTTCTTGGCAGAGATACTGGAGTGGTTTGCCATTTCTTTCTCCAGCTCATTTTAGGAACTGAGACAAACAGGGTTAAATGACTTGCGCAGGATCACAGAGCTATTAAGTGTCTGAGACCAGATTTGAAGTCAGGGAGATAAATCTTTCTGACTTCAGGCTCAGCTATATACAGGATAAATAAGAAATAACTGAAAGAGGAAAAGCACAAGAATTAAGAGGGAAGGCTTCCTGTAGAAAGTGGAATTTTAGTTGGGACTTAAAGGAAGCCAGGAATGTTGGTACTCAGAATGGAGGAGGAAAAGTGTGATAGGTATTATTATTATTACCTCCATTTTACAAATGAGGAAACTGAAGCAAACAAAGGTTAAATGACTCATCCAGAGTCACACAGCTGGTGTCAGGTTGGATTTGAACTCAGGTCTTCCTTACTGCCACCCAGCATTCTCTCCACTGGACCACTTAACTGATTTATAGATCAGATCTGGAGCTCTAAGAGCTGCTGCCAGTATTTAGCAATTTAATAAGCATTTGCGGTGGGTATCTAATCCAACTGCCTCATTTTACAGAAGAAACTGAGACAAAAGGACAAAGAGATCTTGTCCAAGGTCACAAAGGATGAAATGTCAAAGTCAAGATTTCAGCCCCGGTCCTCTGACATGTTAAGGTCTTTCTGATCATAGTAATTGACATTTTTAGCGGACCTTAGTGTGCGTTAAGCTGTCTCTCTTCATTGTCTCATTCAAGTCTCTCAACAACCCTGTGAGGTAGATAAATCCTAAGAGATAGCATGGTCCCCATTACACAGATGAAGAAGGATGGATGAGAAATGAGATTTCAATCCTAGTCTTCAGGTCTCCAAATCTACTGGTAAATTCCTCCTTCAGAGTCCCCATTCTACGGATGAGGAAAGTGAATTTTAAATGGCTTGCCTGAGAGCTAGGTAGTGACTATGGAGAATAGTATTAAAACTAGGACTTCCAGACTCCTAAATCAGCATGGCCTGGGGGTCTTGTTTTCAAAGGAGCCCATCCCATTGTGTCTGCACAATCCTCTCCCTCACTCAAAGGCAGCTGGCGGTAGAATGCTGGTTTGGGAATAAGAAAGACCTGGGAACCAACCCCACACTTCCTCCACATCCATGGGCAAGTCATTAACCGTGTGGGAGCCTTACTTTTCTGTCTAGTAAATGGAGTTAATAATAGCTGTTATTCCTGCCTTTCGGGGTTGGAGTAAGGCTGAGAAGAGAGAAGAGATTTAAACTGATCTATAAACCTTAAAGGGTTATATAAATGCCAGTGGTTATTATTATTATCATTACGAGACTGTATTATCTCTGAAGGTAAAGCCGGCAGATTCTCAGCAGGAAGGAGGAAGCTAAATCTGGGTACTAGAGCCAGGGGAAGGTCTGATTTTCAAGGCCTAGAGGAGAGGTCAAGTATGTGGGCTCTGAATACTGGAGAGAAGGATTCTTAACCTGGAGTTCACAGAAAACCAAAAGGATCATGAACTTTTAAAAAATTTCTATTTTGGTAATTATTTCAATATAATGGGTTTCCGTGTGTGTGTGTGTGTGTGTGTGTTTGTGTGTACACATATATATGGAGAGAGAAAGAGGGGCGGGGAGGGAGTTTCCTTTGTAATCCTATGTATTTAATGCATTTAAAAACATTATTCTGAAAAAGGGTCCCAGGCCTCTCCAAACTGATAGCCCGAGGGGTTCACACACACAGTAAAGGTTAAGAACCTCTGTCCCAAGTCAGCATGGCCCAGCCTCTCTGAGTGCCCTGCTGGCCGGTGCTAGCGAGAAGCCTCATTATTGACCAGCATAAAGGGTGGGCAGTTAGGTGGCACCATAGTGCATAGAGCACCAGGCCTGGAGTCAGGGAGATTCATCTTCCTGAGTTCAAATCAAAGCCTCAGACTTTTACTAGCTGTGTGACCCTGGGCAAGTCACTTCATCCTGTTTGCCTCAGTTCCCTCATCTGTAAAATGAGAAGAAGAAGGAAATGGCAAACCACTCTAGTATTTCCTAGCCAGGAAAACCCCAAATGAGGACACGAGGAGTCAAGCATCGCTGAAACAACTGAACAGCAACAAGGCAAAGGGTGAGCCAAGGGCAGTGTCAGTGGTCACAAAAGAGTGAATTAGGCCAGGCGAGGGCTGCTCCATGAGAAGAATCTGGGAAGCTGTTAATTGGGAGGGCACTGGAAACAGAAAAGAATAGAATTAATGATGCTCTCAAAGGGAACAAGGCGTGCAAGGGATTGTGAAAGATGTCATTCCTCAGTGCTACAAACATCCCAGAGGCTCTTGTGAGCTAGGAAGAGGATAAAGTGTAAAGCAGAGGGCCCCTGAATACCTCCCAGGGACAGAGTATCAGCTCTGGAGCCACGAAGACCTGAGTTTGAATCTTGCCTCACAGTCACGTGTTGTTTTTCAGTCATTTTTCAGTCACATCTGACTCTTCCTGACCCCATTTTAGGGTTTTCTTGGCAGAGATCCTAGACTGGTTTGTCATTTCCTTCTCCAGCTCATTTTTACAGATGAGGAAACTGAGGCAAACAGGGTAAAGTGACTTGCCCAGGGTCACACAGCTAGTAAGGCCACATTTGAACTACGAGTCTTCTTGACTCCAGGCCCAGTGCTTTATGCGCTATTGAGCCTAGCTACCTGTCACACACACAGGTTATGTATTATACACACACACATATGTGGTATATATGTCTGTGCATAATAAAATCACTGGACCAGTCCCTGTCTATCCATCCATGGCTATATGTATGTAGGTGCACACATATATATTCATTGTACGTGTGTACTGTTTGTCATATACACACATATGTATATGTACGAAATCATACGTCCAGTCCCTATGTTTTATATTACTTTTGATATTTATACATCCATCCATCCAATATACCTATCCACATGCATGTACACATTTGGTCCATACCCTCTGAGCTACTTCCCTCCCAACTTGCACTCCCAGGCTGACTCTCCCAGGGGAAGGCTTTCAGTCTGTTTCTGTGCCCATAAACCAACCCACTGGAGCCCCGCCATGGGGAGAACCAAGACCTTACCAGTTGTGGGACCTCCTTTCACAGGTACCTTTGGCAGCTGCTCATGGCCGGGGTGAAAAACAGCCAGCCAGAGAATCTGGGACCATGAGCTGAACAGGAAGATCCTGTTCTTTTGAGGTTTACAAGGGCTGCCCACTGGGGCTCTGGGTTGAATGTTACTCACTTTTACTATTCTGATTATTATCTAGATACATTTATCTGAGTATATACATTGTATCCTCTCCTCCCCCAAATAGAATGTAGGTTCCTTGAGGGTGGAGGCTGTCT